GTTTTAAATTAAGTAAACGTAATCGCAGCCAGCGATTAACGATTAAAAAAATGTTGTCATTAATCGTACAGTTGACTACGACTAATTAATGTAAATCGTCAAACGCGATTAACATTTTAATCGTTAATTTTTAAATGTTAATCAGATTAACAGTTTGCCAACACTGTGTGAAATCATGTTCATATTCACGGAAAAAAATGGACGTGTTTGGAAAAGAGGCGTAGCACCTCCCATATTGACTGAAAGTTTCATATTGCGTATCTCTTCAAAAGTTTGGGGAAAAGCACTCAAACTTGGTATGGAAATACATATGTATGTATGTATGTGAAACTAATACCATACTCATACCCCGCTACCTGATCGTCCTCGCCAGCGATATGCTCGAAAAAGACACACCCTGCTATTTCAAGGATCAACGCGAAGCAAGCGCATTTCGCTTTACCTCCATTGCTCCATCCAGCCTCAATACGGTTCGTTTAAACTTACACCACTCACAGTGAAGAAGAGAAGAAGGTGCGTAAAAGAAAGCTTCAGAAATATTAGAAAATGTTTAGTTACTTATACAACGATTTTGATTCGGGTAACGCGTTTGGGCACAGCAAACCAAAATTATTGTACGAATAACTAAACCCGAAATGTAATTTTTCAACTACATCATTTATTTACTGTTTTCTTACTTACAGGATGCAACCGGCAAGGATACTACAGTTTCTAATTCGGTTTCTATATTCCCAACAGAGAACTACGATCCCATCACAACGCCATCAACTCCAGAATCGGCATCAAATAATGCAATCGCTTTGCAGTGCATGAATGCAGCAGAAGCCATTACCCCTAACCGCTAATGTGACGCAATGTTGAAGTGCAGAGTACATGTACGAAGCTCATATAGTTGTAAGCCAAGGCTTTTTTTCTTGTAAATGGTTAAAAATTCTTGTTGTTAATACTAACTAAAATAAAGGTAATTTAATTACTTTTATGTTTGTTATAAATTCTTTCAAAAAAATTAACTTTTTTTACAAAAAAATCCATGTTTTGTGTATTGCCTTATGCGAGTGCAGAGTACATGTACGAAGCTCACATAGTTGTAAGCCAAGGCTTTTTTTCTTGTAAATGGTTAAAAATTCTTGTTGTTAATACTAACTAAAATAAAGGTAATTTAATTACTTTTATGTTTGTTATAAATTCTTTCAAAAAAATTAACTTTTTTTACAAAAAAATCCATGTTTTGTGTATTGCCTTATGCGAGTGCAGAGTACATGTACGAAGCTCACATAGTTGTAAGCCAAGGCTTTTTTTTTGTAAATGGTTAAAAATTCTTGTTGTTAATACTAATTACAATAAAGGTAGTCTAATTACTTTTCTTTTATATATAAATTATTTTAAATAAATTCACTTTTGTTATAAAAATTTTAAAGTTTTGTGTACTGCCATATGCGAGTGTGAAACACAAAGTTGTTAGCCGAGACTTGTTTAAAAGAAATGTTTCAGAATCATGAATGGTAACACATTTTAAAATAAAGGTAATTTAATTACCTTTCATTTTGTTATAAATTCGTTAAAAAAATAAACCTTTTTTGTAAAAATTTTGAAGTTTTGTGTACTGCATACAATCGTACCCGCAAGGGATGAGTCGAGACTAATTGATCTCCATTAGTACCCGTATGAGACTAGTTGCGACTAATTAATGCCCAACTGTACCCGATAGAGAGTAATCTCGGAATACTCTCTTTAGAGATTAGTCGCACAATTTTTTGCAGGGTTGGTATGGAAATACATATGTATGTATGTATGTGAAACTAATACCATACTCATGGAGAAAAATGAGAGTTATTGGAAAAGATGGTGTGGCAACTCCCATGCAAATTGATTTTTCTATGCTGCATATCTCTGGAGGTGTTTATTGCGGAGGACTGGAACTTGGCACCGAGATGTGTATACAAAATTAATTCCAAACTCATGGAGAAGAATTTACGTTATTCGAAAAGGGAACATGGTTCTGCCGTACAAATTTACTGTTCTTATACTGCTTATCTCTAGAGGTGTTCATGGTAGAGTACTGGGACTTGGTACTGGGGTATGTAAAATCAATTCTAAATTCATGGAAGAAGATTAGGGTTATAAGAAAAAGGGACGTGGCACTTCCTGTACAAATTTACGAAGTATTTTAAATTTGTTATGGAGATTTATTTTATAAGTGCCAGAATAAATTTCATTTAATGGAAAAGGAGAGCCGGGTTCGGCTTTATAATCTAAAGCTCTCTTGAGGCATTTGCTACAGTAATGAGAAGTGGTATTTTATCAAGGCCAGGTTACTAAATTTGAGTTGGAAATATTAGAACCCGTCGTGGCACCTCCAAGAAGGTTACACGTTCACGCGTCGTATACCTGGAACCATTTTAAGGAAAACTTAGAGGGATTGATTTCTTTCGTATGCCTGGCGCGCAGACGAGATTTTATAACTTATAGTTTTAAACGGCCTAAATACCTTAACTCACTTAGAAAATAACGAGCTATAATGAAATGGGCACAGAAATAAAATATAACATCATTAAATTATTTTTCATATTTGTGTAAAAACGTGGGGTGAAACCCGCGGGTATAAGCTAGTTTGATATACATATTTTATCATGATCTACTTTTGGGTTTTAAGAATTAAGTGATAATAAAAAATATAAATTTGGTATCGTTGAAATCAGCGTAAAAAGTTCTAAAAATAGGCACTTTTGGTTATTTCATAGCTAAACGGTCGCTATTCTAGACTTGTTGTAGACGTTGTGATGCCAACGAATATTTAGTATGAAGAATTTTTGGTTTTACTGCTAATATAACTAGAAACTGTAGAGTGAGCAATATTCTGCACAAGTAAAGGATTCAAAAAATGTTATCATTAATCGTACAGTTGATAACGACTAATTAATTTTAATCGTCAAACGCGATTAACATTTTAATCGTTAATCAGATTAACAGATTTCCAACACTGTGTGAAATCATGTTCATATTCACGGAGAAATCATGTTCATAACACGGAATGGACGTTTTTGGAAAAGAGGCGTAGCACCTCCAATACTGACTGAAAGTTTCATATTGCATATCCCTTCAAATGTTTGGGGTAAAGTACTCAAGGTTGGTATGGAAATATATATGTGAGTTATTGGAAAAGGTGATGTGACAACTCCCATGCAAATTGATTTTTCTATGCTGCATATCTCTGGAGGTGTTTATTGCAGAGGACGGGAATTTGGCACCGAGATGTGTATACAAAATTAATTCCATACTCATGGAGAAAAATTTGCGTTATTCGAAAAGGGGGCATGGTACCTCCCGTACAAATTTACTTTTATACTGCATATCTCTAGAGGTGTTCATGGTAGAGTACTGGACTTGGTACTGGGGTATGTAAAATCAATTCTAAATTCATGAAAGAAGATTAGGGTTATAAGAAAAAGGGGCGTGGCACTTTCTGTGCAAATTGACTTTTTCTTGCCACATATCCCTGGAAGTGTTTGTGGAAGAATACTGGAACTTGGTATGGAGTTGTGTATACAAAATGTTTCAATTGCTCATGGAAAAAATGTGAGTTATTAAAAAAGGAGGCATGTCGCCTCCAATACATACTAAAAATTTCTTAATACATATCTCTGGAAGGATAGGAAATCTTTGGAAGTATTTTAAATTTATGAATTTTAGTTGGAAATATTAGAACCCGCCGTGGCACCTCCAAGAAGGTTACATGTTTACGCGCCGTATATCTGGAACCATTTTAAGGTAAACTTAGAGGGATTGATATCTTTCCTATGCCTAGCGCGCAGACGAGATTTCATAATTTCATAGTTTTAAATGGCCTAAATACCTTAACTCGCTTAAAAAATAACGAGCTATAACGAAATGGTCACAGAAATAAAAATTAACGGGGTGAAACCCGCGGGTGTAAGCTAGTAAATTATAATTTTGCATTTATTAGGTCATTTCCTTAGTGTTTTCCTGGCCGACCTGTGCTGGTATTGTAATTAAGACACACGTAAGTTACAACATATTATTTTGACTTCAGTGATGAACCATTCCATTTGCAGCATTCTCTGGTGAACTGCAGCTGCGGCCGAATTTGATTGTGTTTTTACTCTCTAGAAAATAATTTATGCAACCTCGCATACGTGGGTTTGCATTATCTTGATAGGCGGTTATGCATTTTGTTGATACACGGTTTTGTACTTTAAACGACGATATTTAATGTATGTACATATATATCACATATATTGACTTATGTAGATATGTATAGACAATTAATGATGTGTACATAATTTTTTTTATGTTGAAACTACATATGTATATAGTATGTTATTATTATTATTCGGTTCAAAAAAGTCCTATCTCAAATGAAAATACTTTGAAAATGTGCTGAGATAGGGCGTTTTTGGATCGCCAGCTGAGATAGGGTGTTTTTGAACCGAGTTCTGAGATAGGGCATTTTTCAATCAAATTCTAAAATAGGGCGTTTTCCAGCCAAATTTTGAAATAGGGCGTTGAAAAGTTTTCTGATATCGAGTGTTTTCGACCTGGCTGCCGAGATAGGTCGATATTCCACTCAGGCATCGATATATCGAGCCCTAACCGCCAAAATAACGTAAGCGACATTTTTTTTAAATTTTATTTTTGATGCAGAAATATTCCTAGAGCATCTAGATGCATTTCTTCAGATTTACTAGATCACTTCGTGTTCTCCGAAAAAAAAAAATTCACGATCCAAAAATCTGGAAAATCTTTTTTCTCCAAATTTTGAAGATTTATCGTTTTTGGCCTATATTTTGTGGCAAATACCATAAAAGCAAATATAGGGAAAAAGCGAACAATTTTAAAAATTTTGAGAAAATAATTTGGCCGCTATACTCAGATTTTTGAATCGTGAATTTTTTTTTCTCGAGAACACGAATTGATCTAGTAAAACTGAGTATGAGGCATTATTAGTATGGTCAACAGCTATCAAACCTGATATATGCGCACAAGAAACCCATTTGAAAGAGGGGGACAAAATATCACACGTAAATGAATTCCTCTATTTGGCCTGTACAATATAAGGGAAACATTTCAAATTCATAAGGGATAATTTTCTTAGTGATGCGGCTTATATAAGGAATTATATATGCCATACTGTTCTAGATGGGTATTCATCAGCTCAAAAATTTTAAGCATATTATCATATTCCTGTGAATAAAAACACGCCTAATTTTATTATTTTAATTATCTACAACTTTTTGAGACTACCAAGCCATATATATACCAATTCAGATAATCGGAACGCTGTTGAGAAGGCATACAATTTAGTACTTTTTCAACTAAAAGGCTTTTTTTCTTCCCGTTTTTCTTGTACTTCCAAAATACAATATTGACCTAAGGTAG